GGTAGAAACCTTGCTTCCTTCAGGAACCAGTACCGGGAAGTAGAGGAGAGAACCTGACCAGGAAGGACAGAGCGTGTGGTACCAGAAGCTCCCCTGCCCACCCCCCACTGGAAACTTCAGAGAAGTTCCTGAACCCCAGGGTAGGAGCTTTTCCCTCTGAGGCTTCCATTCTTTGGTAAAGTAGGAGCAGTCTCTTCTAGAGTGGAGAGAGTAGGTTCGTGGTGGTCAAGCCAGGATGTGAGCAGCCCCTGGCAGGGTGCCTGGCACCTTACGAGTGCTGCTGGTAAGTGCCAGTCTCCCCCGTAAAGACCGAATGAGCACTGCCTACCGCCTGTCTCCAGGGCCACCAGAGTGCCTAGGAGGCAGCCATGCAAGTCTTAACATCACTAGAAGGCTTTAAGGAACTAAGAGGAAGGGGGGGGCAAGGTCACTTGAAGGTCAGCGTTCTAGGATTAGACCATCACTGTTAAGATTTGGGAGGCCTGAAGGAGGAGTCACAGTAAGACAACAGGCTAGGAGTGCAGAGAACTCAAGCCCTGCCCCTGGCCTTGGTGTTTACTAACAAACCAGGTTCCCTGTTCCAACCTCACCTTCCTTATCTGTCAAGTGAAGGTGGTGCATGGGTCTACAGTATCTCAGGGTTTTTTTTTAATACCCAGAACTTTGCTCAAATGCATTATTAGAATATATATATATATATATGTATATATATTTATATTTATATATAAAGCAAATAAGTAAAGGGGACTGAACCTCCTCCCTGCCCCATAGGGCTAAGAAGCTGAGTGGTTCATGCTCCAGCACACTGGAAGACCATGTATAGGAAGCAGCGGAGTAAAATAGAGTGACACCTAAGGACTCTCCTCCCACAAGGAACACCCTGCCTCTGCCTCCTAGTGATGATGCCACGTGCCCTCTGGCCCTCTGCCAATATTGATGGAGAGTCTGATACAAGACGAGCCAGGTTGGAAGGGCACACGGGTGGTGTTAAAAGGCCAGCGATCAAAGGCTATACACTGTGGTCTGGACTATTCGTCATCCCAGCTACTGGGAATAAAGGTCCCTGAAGCTAACACTTCACCAGTTGCTTCCTGGGATAGGGAGGAGGGGGTCGTGGAAGACCCTCTGTGTGTTGGTGCCTGAGCTCAGGTGAACTGCGAGCCCATGGAGCACCTAAAGGATTCTGCCACCTGACTCAAAGGGTCTCCTGTATCTCTGTGGGCATGCCTCAGAGAGAGGGCTTGGGGAGGGCATCAGCCATTTCCACTTCTCAGACAGAGCTCTGATGTTCCAGCATTCGATCGGGTTTGATTCTGACGAAACATGCATGGAATGGGTTTTATATAAAATAGTAAATTGAGGGGTGGGTTTTTATGAATGTTCTTTGCCCTTTCCCACCCCCTTGCATTCTGCTGCAGGGACAGCAAAGCCAGGTTTCCTTCTCAGAGTCCCCAGTTGATGGGTATGTTAAGCTAGAGGCTGGAGAGTACACACCAAGGGGAAGACCTGAAAGGATGCAGAATGTTCTAAAAGGTAGCCTCATTCTCAGGTGTGGTTTGCATCCCTTCTCTCAGACACCACCATCACAGCCTGGTACAGATAAACACATGTTGAGTGAGTGGATTACAATTTCATCTGCAAGCTCATGGGAGCAGATGGACAATGGTGGCCCAGTTGAGGGTGGCTTCCGGTTCTGACCTCATTCAGCAAACACTTGTTGATTGAGATTTCCTGGGCCCTAGAAAACCAAGGCTCAGAGGTAGGGCCTGCCTCAACTCCTAACAGGATAAAATGAAGTGGTAGACTGTATCCAAGCCTTATTCCCCTTAATTCTAAGTCAGCAGTGATCAAACAGGGTGTGGAAAGTGAGGCAGGGGGAGGGAGGGAGGGTCTGGGACAGGTGGCAGATCTCAGGGCCAGGTGCCTACCAAGAGGCAGGAGCGCCGTTCCTCCCCTTCAGCCTGTCCTGAGCCTTGTTAAACACGCGTTCTCTTAACCTGGCTATATCAGCTGTCCCTGTTTCTACCACCACACATACTGTTCTGTCTACCTGGGATGTAGCCCTGCCAATGCTTTCCCACTTGGCAGATTGGGTGCTTGCCCTTCAAGCTGATTCCAGTGTCACCTACTGGGAACTGAGTTTTGATTGCCCATGGGGAGACTTTAGAAGTGTGTCCCTCCAGGACTGCCTCAAAGCACCTCTACTGAAATCCAGATGCCTCAGGTGGTCATTGAGTCTGCCTCGCCCCACGGTGCTCACTTGCCTACTAGCCATCTCTTTGACATCAGGCATGGGCCTACTGGGTCCTGAGTCTCAGTTCTTGCACATGGCAACTGGACCTAGTCACTAAGTGTTTTAATAAGTTCTAATGAGGCAGCCTGCCTAGGTAAATATAACCCATGCTTGGTAGGCAGGTCTTCTACAAGGAGTTAGACCTTGACCTGCCAGTGGCAAAGTCCCTTAGAGGGGTATTTGTGTGTCCCCCTGTCCCACCCCCCACTGTCATAGTACCCACCTCACCTAATGTCCATTGCAGCAGCTTCTACTCATGATCTACCTGCATCATTTTTGACAAATCTATATTATTTTTCTCTTACTATTTTTTTTTTTTTTTTTTTTTTTTTTTTTTGGTTTTTCGAGACAGGGTTTCTCTGTAGCTTTGCGCCTTTCCTGGAACTCACTTGGTAGCCCAGGCTGGCCTCGAACTCACAGAGATCTGCCTGCCTCTGCCTCCCGAGTGCTGGGATTAAAGGCATGTGCCACCACTGCCCGGCTCTCTTACTATTTTTTATTAAATAATAAAAACACTTCATTATAAGTAATATGAAATCATGGGCTTATAAGTGTTCACTCACAGTGTTTAGAACTCAAGAGCCTGCACAAGGGTATAAAATGAAGTACCATTTTTACCTTGCCTCTGGCCAGCCACCCAGGACTCCCAGTGTTTATTATTATCTAGACTGAGCTGGCCTTGAACTCAGATCAGCTTGCCTCTGTTTCCCAAGTGTTGGGATTAAAGGTGTGGCCCACCATATTCAACTCCCCCACCTCCCCCCACCCCCGGAGCTGAAGACCGAACTCAGGGCCTTGTACTTGCTAGGCAAGTGCTCTACCACTGAGCTAAATCCCCAACCTCATATTCAACTTTATTATCCTTTATATACATACTTTTTAAAGTGGTTATTCATATTCCTCACTCCAATTTTTTTTCATACCAAAGGTGGCATTCAATGTGAATGCTACCGAAGCTGGCTTTTATACTTGTAATTGTAATTTGGAGAGTGTCCCAAATCAATACATCTGATATATTCTTTAATATTACATTATATTGCTATGCTGTGGATTATTAAATCATAAGTATGTTCTAATTTCATTTCTGTTCTAGCATGTGCTAGAAAAATGAATGAATATTTGCATACCCTAAGTATCACACCTGAGAACACCCCTGAGCATGTCCCTCACCAGACCGCCCAGTACATGGTGGGGCCCAGCTGTCACCACTGAGCCCTGCCACTGATGTTTATCATAGCCTCTGAAGTCCTAGTGGTCACCTCATGACCCTTGGCTTGGCTATGGCTCACCAGAAGCTTGTCATGTGCTCACTGCCCACTCAACCAGCAGCCATGGGGGCTGGAAGCTCCCTAGAGAGCTGGGAGACAGGAGATTTGAGGGACCACGCCTTTCGCTTCAGTCCACAGAGGTTGGGAATTGGAGGGAAGCCGTAAAGGATGAGTTTGCAAGGTCAGCCAAGGAGAAACGGGCAGACAGGCCATTAGAAGGCAGGCCCCCACATTCTGCGCTGCACACTGGGGCAAATACAGACCTTCCTCTTTCTCAGCCTCTGATGTGACAACTGTCGCTTTGGCAGTCCTTGTCCTGCAGGCTTCTGGAAAATGAGAAGACCTAGAAAACATGCCTGCTTAAGAGCTACGCCCAGCTCTATCTAACAATCTAGAAGTTGGCGCTGCTTCTGGGTACTGTGGGGAAACAGACCCAGAGACCCACACAAGCCAAGCCCAGTTCAGCTGGAGTCTCTCGTGACTCAGGATCCCAGGCTTCCCTCCTGGACCTGCAGCGCCCAGCTCAGCCCGGTGCAGGTGTCCTGCGCCTGCAGATGCCTGTCTGCTCTCTCTCTCTCTCTCTCTCTCTTCTCTCTCTCTCTCTCTCTCTCTCCTCTGGGTAAGCAGGCCCTTTCACCTGCCTGCCTCTTCCCTTCCTGCCGCCTCCAGCCCTTTGCCCCTCAGGAATCAGCACTTACTCACCTTGGGTTACGTCCTGTTTGAACCGCATTACTGGCTGGTGTTTCATCTGGGCACAAGTAACCCTCAAAGTTTGGGGGTGAGGGTGGGGCATTGGTGTGAGGAGCACCAAATCGTATCTCCAGGGCCCTGAGTTCCAAGCTGCTGCAGACCCCTGAGGAGATGGAGAACTTTGGGCTCTTGCTCTGAGCTTTCAGAGCTTTGTTTCCAGCCCCCGGGAATGTTGAACAATGTGATTGTTCCCATTTTGCAGATGGGCACGTAGAAGGTAGGGATGCAGTGAGGCTGGGAGACGCAGCCTGCTGGAGTCTCTATGGGCTGGACTCAGGCCACTGCCCTTTCAAATCCAGAGCCGTTCTTCTTCCCTGTCTGCACTGTCCTTTCATTTAGTTTGGCCTCCCTGGCGCAAGAGGGAAGGTTGGGTTTTGGTCCTCCCAGAGGCTAGAGCCACCTGAAGTGCAGGCATCACTCTGCCTGGGGAATGAGACCTTGAAAAATGGCCTCTCTCGAACTACATAGAGAGGACCTGTTTCCCTTATCCTCAGAGAAAAGTCTAGAAATCAACTGGGCAGGTTTGGGCACCCGAGGCCAGGAAGTAGTCAGGTTTCCTGGGAGAAGGATAGGTGTGTTGCCAGAAGTTGGGCGAGTCACCTGAACACGAGACCCTGCCAGCGTTGGCTTTGCTCTGTAGTACTCTGGGCCCAGACCTGCTGGTAACCCTGTGATTTCTTCCTCTGCAGAAGGTGACTGGCCGCCTCATGCTGGCCGTTGGAGGGGCAGTGCTCGGATCCCTGCAGTTTGGCTATAACACTGGCGTCATCAATGCCCCCCAGAAGGTAAGTGCTATGCCATCCCACCCATACATACCACCACCCCACCCCACCCACATACTCTTGGTACCTCCTGGGTGTCTATCCTTGACATCAACTGGAATTCTAGAATTGCAGGGCCACTGGATGCTGGGATCTTGGTAGGCCATCTTGACTAGTTTCCCAGCCAATACAGCCATTTACAATGATCAGTTTAGCCGAGTTTTGTTTACATGGTATTTGGGGCTCCTGAGGGTGCCACACCTGTGGGCAGGCAGGCAGGCGGAGCCAGTAGTCAGAGTTGAGTAACCGTCCCCAGTGCCACTGAGGTAGTCAGCTGGCGTCCAGAGCAGTTTTATGCTCTCACACCCCATCCACACACAGCACAGTCCAGTTCCAGATTGAAACTGCTTCCTCTCCCTGGAGTTTCCATGTCAATTTACACACGCATGGCATCTTGCCCAGAGGCACCGCAGGAGTTAGAAGGCTGACTTCCTTCTCATTGCACATCCCAAATCTGCCCGCACTTGGCTCTCTGGGTGTCTAGACTGGAAAAGGACTCCGACAATCACCTACTTGTTCTGGAGAAGAGGAGGAGAAGGGGTTAGGAACAGAAATGGAGGTTGTCACAGTCCCTCCTCTACACTAGGTGTTTTACATGTGTTTATAAGGTTGGGTGGTGGTTTCTATTTTATAGACCCGGAAAATGAGGCCCGGGCCTCATTAAATGACCCATGGGCCCAAGGTCATATACTAGTGAATGGTGGCATCAGAAGCCAAGCTCTTTGTTTCCATAGCCTCGAGCCACCTTCCTAACTCACGCTTGCCTGTTGTTTAACAGTTCGAACTTTGACAGGGATCATGAAATGAAAGTAGACAGCGCTCCTGTCAGGACCATTCTCGCTAGCCGGGCTGATGAGGCTAGACAATGAGTGTGAGTGGTTCCCAGGACCAGGAGCCCAGCTGGAGCACCAGACTGTAGGAATTAGAGCTGGGCTTCTTCCAAGGAGGTGGAACTTAGCTATAGGGCCCACGCCTGATGCTGGGGAGCAGGTCACTAGGAAGGCTTGGCTGCTGAGTCATGCTGAGCTGCAGCAGCACTGATGGGATTTTTCCCGGATCTGACATGGCGACTGAGCCCATGCTTAGAACAAAGCCAAACCCTGTTTTTACTAAGTGCACAGAACAGCTCCCACCGAGGTGTGTGCTTTGGGAGCGGGCTCTTTTTCTGGGAATCTGTGCAGATGGAAAGCCTGTGAGACAAGATAGGAGGAAGTAGGGAGATAAGTTTGCACATTGAGGTTCCCTATACACCCCCAGATTCTGAAGTAATTGGTCTGTGATGCTGAGGAAGCTCCGTAACTGTTTCTGATGGGTAGCCGAAGTTGAGAAGTACTGTGTTAAGCAATGTCTTAACTGTGGTCACAGTGAGTTGGTGACCTAACTAGGACTCTAAAGGCAGGACAGAGGAGGAGGTTTTTTTCCGACAGACAGGGTGGAGTAAGCAAGGGAGGCAGTAAGATGGATGCCCAGAGAGCTACTTCTTCTGTGAAGGGTGAATATTTTGGCATGTCAAGAAGGTGGGCTGAGGGAAGAAGCCAGAACTGGACCACTATCGTCCTTGCATGAATGACTTGGACCTGCAGCATAGTCGGTCCCCAGCTTGGCATGGCCCGGCCAGGTGGAGGGTACGTATCATGAGGACCTTGAAGCCTGTGGAGGAGGACAGGCCTGATCCGATCTGCATCTTTGGAAATATTCAGGCACCTGGAGTGGTGGGATAGATTTGAGAGCTAGCTGGAGTCAGAGACACTTCATGGATTAGTGGTCTGAGAACAAATGCTGAGTGCTGGAGAGAGGGTCAGAGTAAAAGGTGCCTGCCACCAAGCCTGAGTTCCTACAAGTTGTCCTCTGGTCGCCGTGTGTCAGAGTACACACGTACCCTGCCCCCCACAAATAAGTACGATTTTTTTTTTTTTATATATCTAGGAAGGAGAGATAAGATTTTGTCAATCAATTCAGTCTGAGGATACAAGGAAGAGGGGTTCAAAAATGGCTTTTATATTTCTGGTTCAGGGCAGGAGCTAGTAGGTATGAGGTGGCAGGAATCAGTTTGTCGTCGGCCTTTGGAGATGGGTAGAGGTGCTCACGCATCTGAGTTGACTTCTTGGACACAAGGCTGGAGAGTGACTGACTGATCGTCACTGCTATCCGGATAGGAATGGGAGAGGATCTGTGAAGTACAGAGAGCAAAGGGTTAGCTCTTGAGGACATTCCCAGTGACAGATGGAGAAGAGCTGACATCTAAAGCCAGGCGGGCATGCAGGGCATGGTGGTGCACACCTAGAATCCAATCAGGCTCAAGAGACTTGAGAAGACTTGGTAGAAAAGAGAGAAAAAGTCGGAGTGGCCGGAGGACTCACTTGAGATTGGTGTTTGTGTTGGGATTTTGTTTTTATTCCAGATTTCCTTTATAGACATGGTGTAAGGCATCAGTAGAGGAGAGGGAAAAGCTGAGGAGGTAAGTGCAGGGAGACTGCTCTTGGCAAGGAGGGACACGATACTTCTGAAGATGTGAGCAAAGCTAGATTGAGTTTGTCTGCCTTGGAGGCCTAGCTAGTAAGAAACAGTGGAAGGCTGGCTAGTGCAGGGATGGAGGTGACCATGGTGTCAGAGGACAGGTAAGCCACACAGAGGGCCCAGCCAGTGAACTGCATTTATGAGAGTAGCCAGCAGCCAGCCACCAGGGACACCTGTCCAAATGGCACTTCTCAGGAGCCAGACGTGAGAACAACCATAGTGGAGTGAAATTCTGAGCCAGACACGGTGGTACTAGTCTGTCCATTTCTGCGCTTTGCAGACACTTCTCTCGAGCTTGGCTGGAGTTTTTCCAAGTAGGTAATTTATCATATGAAAAGAGGATCGAAGTATGTAAGAGTAGAACACTAAAGTGTGGCTCAGCCGGCGTGTAGCACACAGAGTGGCCCACCATACTCGGATGAGATTGACTCCATTGCCCGAGGAAGGCACAGTGATTGGATTCTGCCAGCACTGGCATTCAACAAGGACTCACCCAGAATCCACTCTGCCAGACCCTGCACTCTGCGAGGAGATATGGCCATGACACCGTAGAACACATTCTGGTTTCTAAAACCACCCCATCTAGAGGGGTGGGGGAAAGCTCTTAGGAAAAGGAGAATGTGGGAATCTGTGAGGGGTAGGTTCCGGGACCCTCCCATCCCCCATGTATACTGAAATCCTGGACACTCAGGACCCCATACAGAGTAGCACAGTACTGCCTAAATCTGTACATCGTTTCTCTCGCACACTCATCGCTGGATTACCTGCATCTGAGACCATATAAATGTTGTCGTCAGTATTTATCTACTATACTCGCCGTATTGTTTAGGGATTAATGACAAAGGTCTGTCCATGGCCAGCTCAGATGCAGTTTTTCCTACAAATATTTATGTTCCCCAGCTGGTTGAACCCACAGATTGCAGAAGAGGAGAGGTTAGGGGAGGGCAGCAGCAGAAGGACTTTATGAAGGGTTTGGCACTCACACCTGGAAGGGGAGGTTGGGCCCACAGCAAGGAGGGCCACGCGCTCAGTCAAAAAGTGTGCAAGGACTTGGTCAGGAAAGGGCTCCCCTCCTGTGGAATCTGTCATCTGCACTGGCACTCAACTTCCCGGTCTGGTCAAGTACTTCCTTTAGGGTGGCCGTGCTCTTAAGGCTTTGCCCACAGTGAGTAGACGTCCCTCCATTCATTACCAGGGGTTTGTTCTTTGCCATAAAACAGGCCTGAAAGGCTTCTACCCGGAAGTGGTAATTAATCATGATGTTATCTTAAGTGTTTATATAGCACTTGCCCTCAAATTACCTCCTCTCCCTGCACCTTGTAAGCCTGGCAGGCAAGACTGCCTTCCTTTTTGTGGATGAGGAAACCGAGGCTGGGAAAGAGCATCTGGAGAGTGAATGGCTGAGCTGGGGTGGAATGGGACAAGGGGAGGGGTCAGCGTGTTGGACTCTGGACCAATCACTCTAAGATGAGGTAGAAAAGGTGAGCCTGGCCACGGAGGGACCCAGTAACTGCACAGCGACACCCTGAATACTACCCTGGGCTGACCTACACAGTGTCTCTTTGTTTGAGGGGCAAGACCCAGCACATCTGAGAAAATGGCACCCATGCAACCCAGAGAGGCTGTTGGGAGGGGCCTAATATCAGCTCAGCCGCTCTTGTTTGACAAGGGAGGATCCCGGTCTACACAGTAAATGAGGCCTTGCCTGAAGTGACCTGGCTTAGCCAGTGAAAGAACCGACCTGAGCTAGACCTGCTTCCCAGCCTCAGCCCAGTGCCCCTGAGGCTGAGCCGACTCCTCTCCTCAATGGGGATACAAACAGCCTTAGTGTGGCCCTTCTCACCTCTCACCACGGACCCTTACAGCTTACTTAGTCGCCTGTATGTATTCTAAGTGCTTTAGAAATGGCCACTCAGTTGTCATCATAACCTCATCAAGTAGGCACCATAATCTCCATTTTCTAAGAAGGGAGTGCAGAGATGTGAAGAAACTATACCAAGGACACACCACTAGCACAGAGCCGAGCTGGAGTTTGAATCCAGAGAGTCTGGCTCTGTTGTGTGCTCAACCTCTGTGAGAGACAGGCACTGAGGAAGGGTGGCATCTAAACATAATTCTCTCTCTTCCCCCTCTCTCTCCTTCCCTCCCTCCCCACCAGGCTGGCCTTGAACTCACACAGATCCTCTGCCTCTGGACGCTTGCCCACACTTGTCACACTGCTAGCCCACTGCTCTGAGCTCAGAGCTGAGTCAAGTCTAGTCCTGTACATATAACTCAAGAACTTCCCACACAGCTGTTGTACAAACCCTCATGCTGTCACAGCCCGCCCCGTCATCGCAGACCCCCTTTGTCCCCCATGGCCAGCACCAGTGGATCAGATCATGTTAGGGTTTGTTCTAGATCACATCACCTTCTCGTTCGTCAGCTGTCCGAGGACGGTGATAGAA